TGAATTGAATTGAATTGAATTGAATTGAATTGAATTGAATTGAATTGAATTGAATTGAATTGAATTGAATTGAATTGAATTGAATTGAATTGAATTGAATTGAAGACCCTTGATTCTGCCCAGCACCTGACTCTGGGAACCACAAAATCCCAACAACACATATGGATATGAATGGATGCGATACATCTATCTCTAGGATGATTTCTTATTAAGTGAAATTGTTATTAAAATTGCTCATCAGCAGCCTGTGGAGACAGTGCTAAGAAGACAAACGCACTCCTAATATTGACCATGGGATCTTTTTTTGACTATTTTGATTTTTAAGCCAGTGGTCTGAGAAAGAGTATAAACTATTGGATACTCCAGGGTACACTGAATGGAACCCTCAAAAGTGATATGCTTATCCTTGCCTGTCACTACAGAACCATGCAGGACAGATATATCATTGGAAACATGTATATGGGATGTATTTTGGGAAGAGGGAAGTACTAGCAAGCTACTGGTGGATGAATGTAGATGCAATGCCAATATGCTGTATACCCGTGGTCACCAACCGGTCACTCACAAGCTACTGGTCGATCTCGAGGCCTCGACCAGTCGCTCGCGAGGCGTCCTGTCAGCCCCGCCCCCATTTCCCTCCCACCCCCCAGAAGCCCCACTACTTACCTCGAGAGAAGATGGAGGTAGTGTCGGCTTCCGGCGCGCGGGGGTTTGGCCCTGGGGCTTCCCAGCGCGGGGAGGAGGTTGGCGCCGGGACAAGCACCCGCGGGGCTTCCCTGCATGGAGGGGGGAATTGGCCCTGGGGCAGGCGTGCGTGCGCAGGGGACTTCCCTGCGTGGGGGGGGGGCTCGGCCCCGGGGCAGGCACGCGCTGGGTCACGCGTGGGGCGCTTCCCTGCATGGGGGGGGTTTGGCCCCAGGGCAGGCGCGCGGGGCTTCCCTGCAGGCGTGTGCGCAGGCCCCCTGGGCAGGCGTGTGCGCAGGCCCCCTGGGCAGGCGTGAGTGCAGGTCTTCCCTGGGGGGTGGTCGACCCCGGGGCAGGCACGCGCTGGTTTCCGGGGGTGGAGGAATGCTGGGAAGAGGGAGATGCAGGGGGCTCTCTGCCTCCACTGGCATCCCACTCCCCTGTCCCTACTCCCCTGTCCTCAACTACAGAATGCTGTCCCCACTCCTGTCCCCACTCCCCGAATTCTGTCCCCATTCATGTCCCCACTCTCTGAATTCTGTCCCTACTCCCGTCCCCACTCCCCGAATTCTGTCCCTACTCCCATCCCCACTCCCCGAACTCTGTCCCCACTGGCACTCTGTCCCCTGCTGCAGAATCCTGTCCTCTGCCCTCCCAGCACCCTGCTCCCTCTCCCCTGCCCCCAGCCGCAGAACTCTGTCCTCACAAAATGTATAATTATAAATGCTTCATTTTAGATTTAAATAGCATGAATAAAAAACAGACCATTTATTTCATAACTATAAACACGTGATTTTAATTGTATGTATCGCATAATTTAAAAATAAACTGTATATCAGAGTGTGTAAGTAAGGGCTGGGGATAGCAAGTGATGGACAGGAGGAGAATAGAGAGGGCGGGGCTTCAAGGAAGGGGTGGGGCTTCAAGGAAGGGGAGGGACTTCAAAGAAGGGGCGGGGCGGTAGATCTTCGCCTATTCTGAGATTTAAAAAGTGATCTTGGGTGTAAAAATGTTGGAGACCACTGCTGTATACTAACAAGCACACTTACTAGTTACCAAACATTAATGAAGGTACTGGAAACTATAGCTACCAGCTTGATTAACTTTTCTGTGAACCTTGGTTTGGACCGGTATGCTATGACTGATTACTTACTGTAAATGTTCTCGCTCAGTCCTGAGCCCCTGCCCAGTACTCGGGCTTGTACTTCCTAGTCCGTCGGCCTCTTTAAGACCAGAGGCCTGAAGGTGGATCAGCAAACAAACAAAATCAAAGTCAAATGGTGGCCTTGGCCCTGGTTCAGGGTGGGGCAGGAAAACAAATAGTTTTCACAGAACAAATGGGGAGGAGGAGACTGCCATCCACAATGTAGGCCCTCCCTACGCCACCAAGTCTTGGCCCAGGGCCCTAGTGGTGGCATCCTTGGTGGCTACTGGGCTCAGAAGGGAATCCACTCCAAAGCATGTTGACACACCTTAAAAGATGATCAGGTCCACCTGCCCATCCTCGCTTCCCCTGGACCACTTCCAGACTCCCCCTCAGTTTGTACCAGGGTCCCAAGCAAGGCAGTGGCGGGTTCAAAGGTCTGTATAGTCAAAGTTTAGATGTAGGGAGAAAAGGGACTCCTCCACAAGACCTGGGCCTAGGGCCAGTCATCCGCCTCAGCATCTTCAGGGTAGGCCTCTGCTCCCTCCGACAGCTGGCCCCTAACTGAGCTTCTGAGCCTAGCTTTTATACTTCCTGCCCCTCCCTTAGGCCTGCCCCTCCCTTAGGCCTCTGTCTCAGCCCACCCAGGCTCAGAGAGGGGTTCTTCCTCCTCAGGGTCAGTAAGTGGCCTCCCCTGCTCACTACACTTACTTAAAGAAACCCTGTTTTAAACTGTTAATACTTTGCAACTAAAGTGACTCCATATTGTCACTGAAACTCCATTTTAAACTGGGCACTGCCTTAACTCTTTTTAAAGTTAGGTGTGTGTCTGTGATCTCATTTATAAATATGACTCTGTGAGTGTGTGCGCAATGGGATCAGTTGTCGACGCCAGACCGTCTCAGTGACCAGCTGTCAGCACCACCTTGATGGTGGAAGAAGAATACGAGCGAGCCATGCAAAAGCCTAATGAAGATCAACGTCACATGTGCTGTTAACTGATGACTCATGGTCATACAGTGTCCTTGAACAGTGAGACGGGACAGGATCTATGAACTGAAACATATAAAATGATGGGTGCAAAACTATAGAACTGTAGGTTTGAGTTTTTCGGTTCTACAATCATCCTCCAAGAGCTTTGGTGCTCCCCTCTTGATGTCTAGACCACCTGGCCAATGGAAAAGTAGGAGCAACTGAGGCTGATAATTATATCCCATCTGTAGAACTGTGTGTATGTGTGTACACGTGTGGTGGATAATTTTAGTAGCTAGGGACAGCAAATGATTTCTTCATTCACAATAAATGTGGCATATTGCCTTATCCCCCAAAGAACATTCTGCTAATTCTATTTCTCTAAGTATAACATAGGGTTACCACTTTTCTGTAATAAACGTAATGCATAATTTTCCCCTAGCGTTATTCTAGGAAATGGATTATCTTTTATGACTGCAATTTAGAGGATAGTGATTTAACATGGAACATTTCAGTCCAAATGATTAAAGATTGACAAAAGCTATGAGCAACTGTAAACTGGTCTTACATAGAGAAGTATTGTATAACATTTGGCATTATCAGTGCTGCCTATAAAAAAAAATTCAGAATTATGGAATATAACTCAGGATCAGGGACTAAAACTTTTTTCTCTTAATCATTCAGAATCATGGATTTTAATGTCATTTTTTTAGCAGCAATGGAAATAAAGAGCTATGACAGCTATTCTAACATTCAAAGTGTAACTCTTTGTGAGGTATAGAATACTATGATACAGACATATCAAAGCAATGGCATATGTAGAAGATACAAATTCTTATTTGCCTCTTAGGCAAATAGAGGTTGCATGAAATTTTGGTTGCCATCAAAAAGAGGCAAAGCAAGGTGCTCACCTCTGAGTATCTCCTTTGAATTTTACAGGAAGTTTTTCGGGCGATAGCCTTTTCTGGAAGGTGTATAACTCCCTCTCCCCTCATCCAGTACCCTATTTTCTCTAGAGGTACAAGATACAAATTCTTATTTGCCTCTTAGGCAAATAGAGGTTGCATGAAATTTTGGTTGCCATCAAAAAGAGGCAAAGCAAGGTGCTCACCTCTGAGTATCTCCTTTGAATTTTACAGGAAGTTTTTCGGGCGATAGCCTTTTCTGGAAGGTGTATAACTCCCTCTCCCCTCATCCAGTACCCTATTTTCTCTAGAGGTACAAAATGGCAACCCAGAGGCAGCTCAGTTATCCCCTTTTTCAGCAGGACAATGTCATGTTAAATATGAGTTGCTCTAGTTTGGATGAGAGCTCTGAGAAGAATGTGAGCCAAATAAGAAATCAAGAGTGTGACGGGGGAGGTTCTTGGGTTCCAAAGACAGGGGGAAGGGCTAAGGGCCATTGCGCACCAGGGGACATGTGCCTTCCTTCTTTTGAAAAGATGAACTCAGCCTGGGTGGAAGAGGAGCTGAATGCTAAGATTTTTCTCTTTGCCCCTGGCTAGAGCTACATCATATAATAGCACAGACACCCCTTTTCTGCTGCTGGCATGATGGGGCTTGACGAGCCAAATCTGAGCAAGGAGGACTGTGGGGTGGCATTGGTGCTATAGTGCATGGAATTGCAACACCATTCAAAATTTCACCTCATCTGGTTTCTTGCCTCTCCCACTTATGCAGTCTTTCCAGAACCCATAAGCAGGCTGCAGGTTTTCCCCTAACCCAGTAAAACTGGCATGCACCATGCACACAAACACATATATTAGTTACTCCATTCTTTCATAAGCCCTTGTAGAATTTCGTTTCTCAAAAATCAACGTAATATAGGGATTGGAGCAGGTGAGCAGAGAATGTTACACTGAATATTAGGTCCTGCAGACTGAACTCAGTTGAATCACTGTATTAGACTCATTTTGTTTGCACTTTGTTTGAAGGAGAAGAGGTCAAAAGAAGGACTCAACCTGTATACTCCAGCAGCAGCTAAGGGAATACATGATGATTTCCCTCCATTTCTGTAGGGAAGGAAAGTAGCCACTGGTTTTGTATCTTTTGGTTTAAAAGAAACAAATACCAGTAATTATCAGGGGTCTAGACGGTTGTACAAGATGCTAATGTATTAATGAACTATAGAAAACAACAGAATCAATTTATTTCATTATTTTATTTGAAACTCCATTCGATGTGAAGTAGAAGCCCCAAATCATTGTAAATTTCAATCCAATATATAACAAAAAAGAACTTAGGCTGAAGTTGTTCTGTAGGGTAGAATACAACTTTAATATATAAAGTTTCTTTTTGTAAATATAAATGAAATCAAAACTTTAATGTAGGATATAGACTCAAGTCTTTCTCTTCCTCCATGGAAGGCTCATGGAGCACAGTCAACAATTATAAGGCTGAAATAATATAGAAGCAAATATTGTAATTCCACACAATCTCTCCCATACCCTAGCTTTATTTAGCACACATATGTTTATTCTTTTGCAATTCTTCCCAGTATATTATCTGTTCATGTGATTGAATTCCATGGGAAGTAATCAGGCTGTTGTATGTACAAGGAGAAAATGGGACTTTATGTATATTAAACAAATAGTTATTAGGTGGAGGTACCATATTAATTCCTTCTTGTTCAAGACAGAGTGCTACATAAACATCTTCCAAGTACAAGAATTTGACTTTTAAAGATGCATTGATAATTTTTGCAACCAAATTCCCAGAAAAGACATACCCTGTTCCTGAACAAAAATCAGGATAGCGCTCAGATGAGTAGACCTCCTTTGGTACGTACCATTTGCTTTCAATATGGCGATGAGGCTTTGCATTTCTCATAAGGAAGCCAGTGAAATAATATGATGAAGGAGGCGTGAGTGGTCTTAGAAGACTTTGTATTAAATATTCTGTATTAACAAAAACATCAGTGTCTGTTTTCATGACAAAATTTGCACCAGCACAGTAGGTGGCAACCCACTTCAAGCCCATTATGGTTTTAAGAGTCAGGTTCTTGTAGGTGTCCAGAAAGTTTTGTTGAATGATGTCATGATATTGATTGCTCTCTTTCAATATAGCTTCATTTCTCTCTTTATCATTAACACCCAACATAAATAAGCGAATAACCTTTGTTCCTGGAATCACTGATTCATTCCCCCAGGTTTTCCTGATGGCTTCTCTGAGAGGCTTTTCATCAGCTTTGGTTGCTATTAATAGTACTAGGAAAGGAGTGCTGTCTTTACAGAGATCTCTTTCATTAATAAGAAACCGAAAGGGCTGAGTATCATTGAGTTCACTAGCAAATGGTGCCACATTTGCAGTTGGTCCTTCTACCTTCCTGTTTAATAAGAATGGTTTGAATCTGAAAATATTGCTTCTGTTTTCTTTTGCTGTCTGAGGTTTGTCATATCCTTTGATAGGAAATGCAAATCTTTCCATTACATTCAAAGCAATGTTTTCTTTAACTTTGATTTTTGCTATAAGAGCAAAGTAATTAAAAGTCACAGGAATGAAAATGAAATATATTCCTACAAAACAGATGGAGCCAATCAAGAAAATACACATCTTGGAACGCTTCCAAGGAACAGTAAAAAAGCGTCTATAGTGGGTCATGTTGGCAGTTTTCAAATTGATATAAACTGCTTTTGGTCATGCAGACATATGAAGAAGAGTGGTTGTTTGCAGCTGATTGGTTTCTTCCATGACAAATTCAGATCATCAAATCACTTCCATAGTACTGAATGTTCAAGGTTCTTTTAGCTAAACATGTTCCCTATTTTATGCTCAGACTGTACGCAGGTTATTTTCTTGTCAAAAAACTGGATACTGTATTTTTGGACTTTACTGTTACCTTCATTTTCCAGCTTTGCTCTCTGAGGATAATACACAAATACAAAATTATAAACGAAACACTTATTGTCCAATGCAATGTAGCCCAAACTTTACAAAATTTCTCAGCTTTTATGATACGAAAAACAAACTGCAGTGATAGAATTTCATTTATATGAAAAGTATAACTCCAAATGTTTTCCATATCCTGTGTCTTTCCATTAAAACTGCAACTTTAACACTAATAGAATTATCCATATATCTTGACAGAAAAAAACTCCATAACAAGTAAATATGCTAAAGGCAAGAGAGCATATTCTATTTTAAATATATAAGTTTAAGAAACATGCTAAAATGAACCATATTTGTAGTAATAACAGTAACAAAACCTTGACATAAATATATTTTATCTATTTGTATCAGTCATAGGTCAATTTGACATGTACACAAACTCATCACCAGTCTGCAGATGAAAATGACATGCCTGTACTTTCAATTTTGATTATAATTTGCAAGTATTTCAATTCCTTTTATAATGTTATTGCATTTTTAAGTAGAGCTGGGTGAAATTTTTCATTTCAATAGTTTGTTTACCAAAACAATTTGGATCACACAAGAGTTGTGTCTACTTTGCCTAATTACTTTGGAGGGGGAAAAAAACTCATCAGAAACATTGAAGCAGTTTGTTTTGTCATTTCTGAAACAAAATGTGTTAACTTTTCAGTAAGCTTTTTCTTTTTCAGAATTTCGCTGAATTTTATTTTTTAAAAACTGAAAAGGACTTTAAAACAGCAGAAATGAAATATTTCCTTTGAGTTGAACAAAATGTTTCCTTGGCTTGAAACTTTTTAAAAACTCTTTCATTTGGTTGGAAAGTTAAAAACAAAAACAAAAACAAAGCAAGCAAACAAATAAAGAAAACCCATGGTTTATCTTGCATTGATCCAAACAGAGTTCTTTTTCAGTTTGAGACACCAAACTGAAAAATTGATTACTCTTGGTTCTGCTTTTAAGTGAATTTAGCGTTGATGAAAGGTGATAGATGCTGAAAAGTCTATGCTATGTACTTGACTCAGGAATTCAGCTAGAATCCTACATGCACAGGACAG